CTATCAGTATAATTTTTTTCGTGACAATTTAAAAATATATATATATATATATAAAAGGCCAGGTTTATGGTAGATGGATCCGGGATCCAATCCGTAATGATTGGGCCTCTCACCATTAACATGGGCTTCTCATATGGGCCACAAAAGCTGACCTTTCTACTTCTTTTTCTTCGCTACACGTGTCTTACTCTTACTGGTTAAGCAACGTACAATTTAGCAGGATAAAAATAAAATAAATCAGTTCCACCGTCGGCGAGGAGGAAAAGGAAAACGCGGCGAAACGTCCTTCTCCCCTTCCACCATCAGTCTGTCTCTCCCTTCCCCCTTTCTTCGCCCCACGCCTCCTCCCTGAGCCTTATTTCTCCCTCTCCCAATTTATTCATCACACAAATTTATAATTCCATTCCCCATCTCGCCTACTGCTAATTCTCGAGATCTAAACCACCCCCAAACCACCATGACCTCCTCGGCTCCTCCCGTCCTCCCCATCTCCACCACCCATCCCACCGATTCTCAGCCACCCGTCCCCACCCCCGCCTTCCGTGTTTTCATCACCCACATTTCCGAATCCCTCAAGAATGGCCTCTCCCAGCGCCGTCCTTGGGCCGAACTCGCTGACCGCTCCGCCTTTTCCAAACCGGAGTCGTTCGCTGAGGCCACACTTCGTGTCCGCAGGAATTATTCGTATTTCCGCGTCAACTATTTGGCAATCGTTGGTGTGATCCTTGCCTTTTCGCTGCTTTCGCATCCGATTTCCCTGCTGCTTCTGCTGTGTCTTCTGGCTTCTTGGCTCTTCCTCTACCTCTTCCGCCCGTCTGATCAGCCACTCGTTCTCTTCGGCCGCACCTTCTCCGACCGCGAGACGCTTGGCATCCTCATCATTTTCAGCGTCTTCGTTGTCTTCCTCACCAGCGTCGGGAGTCTCCTCATCTCCGCTCTCTTGGTAGGAGTTGGTCTCGTCTGCGCTCACGGTGCCTTCAGGGTCCCCGAAGATCTCTTCCTGGACGAGCAACAACCAGCAGCGGCCACCGGTTTCTTGTCCTTCCTTGGAGGTACCGCATCCAACGTCGCTGCTGCCGCCGCTCCTGTTCTTGCCGCCCGCGTTTGAATGTGATCGAGAGATCCGGGATCGAAGGTAGTTCCCACTTCCCTGGGATAATACATTGTCGAATTAATTGATTACAGTTTTAGATTTTCGTCAGACAATAAATTTCCTCCTTGGAATTTTTGGAAATATTACAGAATGCAAAATTATTTTGATATTGATTCTTTCATTGATGTTTGGGTAGAATTACCATGGATCTAAGGATGTACTCTTCTCTTATATCATACAATTTGTAATTTAATATGTTAACACAGACCATCAGTGTAAAGTCTACTCTTTCCATTTTCTTCATTTTATTTTGATGAATTTGGCATCTTGTAATTACTTATGCTTGAAAATGTATCAAAATTTCAGTTTTCATACGGGACTATAGTTTTGGATCTGTTTATTAGATATATGTGGACGTTGTTTATGATTTATTGCCCTTTTTAGAGCTTACAAACAAAATGGTTTCGTGTATTTCTTAGTATCATTGATTTTAATTTATTCATTTACATTGTTGGAGTTGGGTTCTTGGTTTGATGTAGTATCTGCAATGCGGCTATTTTAGTTCATATGTTTCAGTACGTGATTGGGTTTGAATTTTGTTCATGTAAATCCATCATGGACCATGAGTTGTCTAATAGATATCTGTTTTCTTCTTTGTCTTTCAATGATGCGACTCTTGTTAACTTCTTTCTTAGTTGCATTAGCTATCAACTAATTGGTAGTATGGTCATTACCTGGGATATTGTTCTAGATATACTGAAGCAATTGGATCATTATCATGGATATAAGAATTAAGAATGGCTATTTGGTTTTCTTGGTCAATTTTTGGTGCACTGAACTTCCCTTTTTTATTCTTTACTCTTGTTCAACATTATGGTTACTATGTTTCTTATTGTCTGTATTTAGATGGATGACTATTTTCAAGTTTGATGTATTTTAATGTCTGAAATCTGGTACTTTAGAGAAGAACTCCATTTAGTGCTTTTGTTAGGTTATGCTAGATATGAACTTTTGGAGCTTAGGACTCCTGTCTCAGAAAAAAAAGAGTAGTGAGATTCAGCTGCAATGTGATTCATGAATTTCTCTCGGTCTTTTTGCTTTCTTTCGTTGTTGCAATGGGCTTTTCATGTCCCCAGGAAAACCTGAATTGTGGCCAATAAAAGGTTTGTTGTTGTAGACTCATCTTGTTGTCTTTACATTACATGAAACCAGGCAACGCGAGTGGGGGGTGCCCTGTCTCTTGCTTCTAGTAAATAAATATCTACTCTCTTGCTTTGTGTTAAAAGGTAAGTTTTGGAATTGAATTTGGTTATCCTTGTAAGTCTTGTAAGTACGTAACCAATAAGGGTACTACCTTTACAATTGCGTTGCCTTCCGTAGAAAGCAGCAGCAAGGTAAGTATTAATCGAGAAAGGCAAGGCACTTTGTGTGATCTTTTTCGACAAGCACGTGGATCCGTGATATATGTTTCTGCCTCTAGAATGAAGTTACTTCGATTCTGATTATCTGCAATTCCACTCCGAGACCTTAGAATAACTCTACTGCGCCAAAAGTTAGCTCTTGGTATGCTTCATGCACTGCAAAGTTCAGCTTTTCTTAGGGTCTGTGCTCTCCAAAATTGTCGTCAACATGAAACTTGCAAAGCTAACCTAAGCTATATTCTTCACTTTGACCAAAACACAAACAAATCGACTGCAATGACAGAAGAAACCCAAATACCTGACAAACCAATACAAAGCCTTAGGTTGTATATCGTTAATTTTCCTCTATATTTTACCATCAATTTCTTGATAATGGAATTCAGATTTCTTGCTTAATTCATGTCGCTTGTTGTGGTTAACCCACTAAAATAAGGCAATGATATGGGAATAATTTTTATTGTACAATTTTTTTAACATAAATGTATTACTACATGAATAAATGTAAATAATATAATAGATTTTTATAAAGTAAAAATAGATAATTATTAAATAATATATAAAATTATATAAAAATTTTGTTAAAAAAAAGTTATTTCTCAATTATTTTTCCTAAAATAAACGGCTGACTAAGAGACCCAGGACCTCCAGACAATGTAAGTAAGGAACGTGCCCCATGAAATATAGCCGTTGGAGAGAAATGAAAGTTGCCTCGATCCTGCTTCAACTAACGGTTAGGAAACTAATCAGAAATAAAAGTAGCCGTTAGGAATTAGTATAGCTTAGCCCAGACACCCTCTACCGTCTCCAACTGACTTTGTCTCTCCCAAACCCAAGATTCCTTCTCTCTCCCTACTTATTTAGTTTCTTTTTCGTTTCTCTCTCTGCACTCTGTAATCTTTTGTACCTCACCTGCAACCATAAAGGCAAACAATGAAAAAAGAAGATAAAGAACATAGATTTCAAGCTCACTTACCCCCTCCTCCTTCTTTCTCTCTCTACACATCTCTGCTTCCCTCACTCTTGTTCATGGAAGCTACCCATCAATCTAATCCATACCCACCACTTACAGAGGAAAAGCAATGCTGTAAAAAAATTTCAGCTTCGGAGAAGATAAAGCTACAGAGCAGAAGTTATTCGCTTTCTGGGTTCAAAATCAAGTTCTTCCATTTTGCCTACTTGTTCTTGTTTCTATTTGCTTTGGCCTCTCAGCTCGTTTTGGGCCAGAAGGATGATGGGGTGATTGTCACCCAAGCTGATTACCAAGCTCTCCGTGCCATAAAGCATGACCTAATCGACTCCAGAGGATTTCTGCGCAGCTGGAACGATAGTGGCTATGGAGCTTGCACTGGTGGGTGGGCGGGAATCAAGTGCGTCAAGGGACAGGTCATTGCCATCCAGCTTCCTTGGAGGGGGTTAGGCGGTCGCATTTCAGAGAAGATTGGCCAACTTCAAGCTCTTCGCAAACTCAGCCTCCACGACAACGTCCTTGCCGGTCCGGTGCCTTGGTCTCTCGGATTTCTCCCCAATCTTAGAGGGGTTTATCTCTTCAACAACCGGCTTTCAGGTTCCATCCCTCCTTCAGTTGGTAACTGTCCTAATCTTCAACATCTTGATTTAAGCAACAATTCACTCACTGGCTCAATTCCTGCTAGTCTTGCCAATTCTTCAAGGTTATATAGACTTAACTTGAGCTTCAATTCTTTGTCCGGATCCATTCCTGTTAGTGTCACTCGGTCACCTTCTCTTACCATTCTTGCTCTGCAACATAACAATCTGTCTGGTTCTATCCCTGATTCCTGGGGTGAGACAGGTAGCAACCCTTACCAACTTCAGTTCCTGACCCTTGATCACAATCTCCTCACTGGAATAATTCCGGTGACTTTGAGCAAAATGGGTTTGCTTGAACAGATTTCTTTGAGCAATAACCGGATTTCAGGGATCATTCCTGATGAACTAGGTGGGCTCTCGAATCTGCAAATGCTAGATCTATCAAACAATGCTATTAATGGGAGCTTTCCTCCTAGTTTTTCCAACCTCACCTCTCTGGTTTCTTTGAATCTTGAGGGAAATCGCCTTAGTAGCCAAATCCCAGCAGCCATTGACAGATTGCAAAACCTTACGGTGCTTAATTTGAAAGACAATCAATTCAATGGCCGAATTCCGGCTACCACTGGTAACATATCTGGCATCAACTTACTAGATTTATCCGGTAATAATTTTACCGGAGAAATACCGGATTCACTTGCAAAACTAGCCAAGCTTAGCCTTTTCAATGTTTCATACAATAATCTCTCCGGTCCTGTTCCATCTCTCCTAGCCAAGAAGTTCAATTCAAGCTCTTTTGTGGGAAACCTTCAGCTTTGTGGCTACAGTTCTTCCACCTTATGTCCTTCTGCTCCTCCACCTCAGAATCTCAATCTTCCACCCGCACCAACTCAATCTCAACATAACCATCACCGGAAACTCAGCCTCAAGGACATCATTCTTATAGCAGCTGGTGCCCTCCTGCTGGTTCTGTTGGTTTTCTGCTGCATTTTGCTTTGCTGCTTGCTGAAGAAAAGGCAGTCCTTAAAAGAAAGGAGTGGTAAAACGGGGGCTGCTGTGGGGAAAACAGAGAAGGCAGCTGCTGCAGCCGGTGCTGAAGCTGGTGGAGGCAGTGAAACGGGTGGAAAACTAGTCCTCTTTGATGGACCATTTGTCTTTACAGCTGATGACTTGTTATGTGCCACCGCGGAGATAATGGGTAAGAGTACTTACGGAACAGCATATAAGGCAACTCTAGAGGATGGAAATCAAGTTGCAGTAAAGAGGTTAAGGGAAAAGACTACAAAGGGACAGAAGGAGTTTGAAGCAGAAGCTGCTGCTCTTGGAAAGATCCGACATGCAAACCTTCTCGCTCTCAGGGCCTATTACTTGGGACCTAAAGGAGAGAAGCTTCTTGTATTTGATTACATGCCAAACGGAAGCCTTGCATCTTTCCTCCATGGTAAGTTTGATTTCAGATATTTATTTCACTACGTTCTAGAGAATTGTGGAATGTATATTGTGAGGAGAATCCTATCTAACAATGTAACATTTTCTTGTGCAGCTCGAGGGCCAGAAACAACCATTGATTGGCCAACAAGGATGAAGGTGGCAATGGGCATTGCGTGCGGATTGGACTATCTCCATACCAAAGAAAATATCATTCATGGAAATCTCACCTCCAGCAACATACTTCTTGACGAGCAAACCAATGCTCACATTGCAGATTTTGGCCTCTCTAGGCTCATGACAGCAGCTGCCAGCACCAATGTGATTGCTACTGCAGGAACACTTGGATACCGAGCACCTGAGCTGTCAAAGCTCAAGAATGCCAACACAAAGACAGATGTCTACAGCCTAGGAGTCATCATACTAGAGCTTCTCACAGGCAAATCCCCTGGAGAGCCAACAAACGGCATGGACTTGCCCCAGTGGGTGGCATCCATTGTGAAAGAGGAGTGGACTAATGAAGTCTTCGACTTGGAGCTCATAAAGGATATACAAACCATAGGAGATGAGCTACTTAACACATTAAAACTAGCCCTCCATTGTGTTGATCCCTCACCCGCAGCACGACCGGAAGTCCAGCAGGTTTTGAAGCAACTAGAAGAGATCAAGCCTGAACTGGTTGCAGCTGTTTCTGCTTCTGCTGAGGAAGGATTTAAGGCTTCACCATCAAATGAGTAGAGTTCGTATATGCAAAAATAAAAGGGGTCTTCAAAATTATCTGGCTATTTCATAAATTCTTTAATTCTATTATTTGTTTTATGTATATAGAAATATAAGCTTTTGTGAGTTTATATCCAGAATGATTAATTATTCTTTTTGCCTGAAGACAATAATGTACTCTTTTGAATTATAAAATAATATATATAATGCATTTTTTAATTTATATTTGGGGATTTTGAAGAAAAATTATTTTTTGCTTATTTTTTAAAAACTAATTATAAACGGAATCAAAATTTCAAAAGTAAAATTTAACATTACCGAAGTCACATCATTTTAAATATTATATTTTTTTAATAATTAATTATTTTATTTTGTTAAAATTCATAATATTATATATATTAAGTCATTTAATAACATAATTTATATCAAATCATTAATCCCAAAATTTCATTACTAATTTCGGTTTTCTCAATCATCACTCTCTTTACTATTTCCTAGGATGAGAAATTTTTCCGTAGATTTAGCGTTTTCTATTTTAGTATGAAACGACGTCGGATTAATTAACCGGTGTCGTTTTCATTAAATGAAAAACTGAAGCACGACTTGGTGTTAATTCATCTGCTCATCCGATCACAGGATCTCCTCATCTCTGTTTCTCCGCCATGGACGATCTTGCATTGCAGAAAATTGCAGTGTCAGGCCCCACACTGGCCTCCATGATCGAGCGGATCAATTCCTGCTTGGGCGACGCCGACGGTCTTCTCTTCGGCGATGTCGCCAGCATCACACCCACCGCACTCTCCGACGACTCTACCCAAACTCCCTCCGATTCGCAGCTTGTCGCCACTATCTCCGGCTTCCTTTGCTTCATCTCTCCCCTCTCCTTCTACGATTCAGCCGGCCGAGTTGACCCGACCCTCGTCACCACTCATCTTAACCAAAAACCCCTTATTGGTTGGTTCTCCTCTCGCCGGAAAACCCCCATCCGCCCCTCCATGCGTGAATTCTCTGTCACCCATTCTCTCTCCTCAATCCCAAATTTATCTCTTCCCATCCAAAACCCGAACTTTAGTTCCAATTTCCCGCCTTCAATTTTTCTCCTTTTTACTACTCCTTTCCAGGACCAATTAATCCACACAAACCAGTATTGCGCATACCGGTTTCAATTACAGAAACAGTGTTTTAGTCCTGTTTCGATTGATATAGTGAACATTGGGCCTGCGTTTAGGGGGCATTATGGGTCGTTTTGCCCAAGCTCTGCCCTGCCATTTTTGAGCTGTGAGTTGAAGAACTCAGCGGCCATGAATGAGGATAGAGATAAGGGCAGTTTGAGTGGCGTAAAGCAGGCGGCAAAGGATCAGGAAGACTTGGACATGTGCGCGGAGGGGATGGACATTGGGAGGTTAAGCCAGTTAATGGGGCCAGAGGCTGCCAATTACACAGCCGGGTTGGAGCATTTGTATGAGAAGATGCTAACTAAGCTTGAGAGCTTGTCCAGGCTCGTTGAAGCCAGTTCTGCTAAGGTTCTTGAGCAGGTTTGTTTGTGTTTACTGTTTCTATGTAACATTTATGTGTGCAATTCGTGGCATCTTGCTTAGATACTAGCTGGGGAGCTTTCAATTGAATTACCAAATATGTTTAACATGATGAGATCATAGCTATTTTTATCCTCTATGCCCTTAAATTAGGTTTCTTTTTGTATTGTGATGAATGCTCTGTTTGGATTAGCTGTTAGAAAGCTGTGTTGTTGGTCTCTATTGGACAACAACAATTTTCAGCCATCCGATATGGGCTATCACATATCACCCTATCAGCTACATAACATAGGCAAAATCTTACTTCCTTGAAGTAGCTCTAATGGCTTTTAAAGTGAGTTTTGCAGGAAAATCACAATAGGAAGTTGAGGTTGAAAGTTGCAAAATCTGCTGGAGTTGAATGACTATTACTTTACTAGTCTCAGGTAACATTTTTATAATCATTTTTTTTTTTTTTATAATTTGTGATACTTGATTTCACTTAATATGGTATTCTAGATTCTCACTTTTTTTTATTACCAAGCTAGCGTAATGCTAAAACAATAGTGGATTTTCATTGGTTTCCATAGAAGTTGAACTGGTTATGCTATTGATGCAAGGAATTGAAATCATTGATACTTGATAGCAAGATTTCTATTTATCAGCTATGTCAGACATCTATGTTGCAGTTTTACTACACTTAAAAGTAAAAGACAGTTTCCTTCTTTTCTTTTAAGCATGCATGATGTTATATTCCTGGTTTTAGCTCATGTGTTCTTCTGGTTATTACCATTTTTGTTAATTATTCCTAGACTCACACCACTTTAAAAGCATTTTGATAAGTGTTAAGGAATATCATTTGTTTTTGCTATTGTGATGATAGAAAATAATGTTCTGGTTGTTATCTACATTTTCTGATCAGATATGAGAATCCTGGAATGAAAGTTGAGAAATTGAAGGAATGTAGGAAGTGCCATTTAATGATATGCTAGTGCAGAGGGTTATGCTTGTTTATATGTTTTATGACTTCGTTCCATGTTAATAAGCTAGATTTAGTGACAAATTAGTAAAAACAAAAGTAAAGAAAAACAACTCAATCCACTAATCTCATTTTTTGTTCTTCTTGCTTGTAGTTCCTTGTTTTTAATTTTAGAAAACAGGGAACGGGACGTATCTTGGAAGGGGGTGAATCTGGTGCGTATCTTGGAGCTGACATTCAGAAGATTATCAATTTCAATGCTTCATGAGGTCAGATTCCTTTTTGTTGACCCTTAGCATGGTTTAGCAGAAAAACAACGCAGCAGCTGCTGATGCTCCATGATCAGAAATCTTGTTGGTCTTTTGAGGTAGTGGTGGATTTGAATTTTGAAGCTTCCATCTATTTATGGGTTGTGTACCCTTAAAACGTTATTATCCCTTTGTATTTGTATATTTTTCCATATTTTTCTATCTTTTCTCTCTGAACTTTGAAGTCTCTGTTTTGTTAGACCTCCAAACCAATGAGAGCATGCCTGAGTTAGAATTTACTAATTTAAAAATTTTTGATTTGGAGTTAAGATCAAACTCAAATTTCTATATAGTTAAGTAACTAATTTTTTAATATTAAAAAAAAAAAAGAAAAAGTATGACCCTTGCTGCAACGGAAAGGCCGTTTTAATTGGCCCATTGGGCCTCTTGGTGGCTAGCCAGGAGCCGAGAACTTTCGAGGCCTCCTCAGGCCGTTTGGTTTGGATAGGCTACTCTACTTAGTTCCTCTCGTAGTTAACTGTAAAGCACATTGAAAAACTTTCCTGTGTTCTCCCCACGGGACAAGGAAAACAAAAATTTTAAAAGCGGTTACTTTTCTGTTAAGGGTAGAAACGTTGAGATGGAATTGGCTTTTCTGGAAAAAGAAAGGCCAATCTTCATCGCCAAGGAAACGAGACCATGCCAAACAGCTAGGCTAGCTCTAGCCACGTCTGCAAAACCGCGTCAGTACCAGTTTCGGGAATATACCAAAAACAGAAAATATCTCCATAAATTTCTAGTCCTGGGAATCATAGGATCCCATCCAACAACCGCCGCCTTTCTTGCTGTCCAAGATAAATACTGACGAGATAAACCACAAATAAACCATAAACCCACAGATAAAGTCTTCCCCATTTCCTCCTTCATCTGCTTACTCTTGTCCCAGTTCCCCTTTTTGTATTATCGAGTTATGGAAGCTACTTTTGAGTCGGTAATGAGTTCAAAGAATAGCAATAACGAGCACAGCCCTTCACTACAGAGTTCCGGTGTCGCCGTTAGCAATAAGAAGCGGCGGAGGAGGCGAAACGTTGGTGAATCGGTGCAAGATACACTTGAGAAGTGGAGGGAGTTGAACGACAACAACAAAGCTGATTATGGTGAAGAAGATGGTGTTAGAAGAAGGGTGGTTAAGGTTCCAGCCAAAGGATCTAAGAAGGGGTGCATGAGAGGGAAAGGAGGGCCAGAGAACGCAGGATGTAGGTATAGAGGTGTAAGGCAGAGAGTTTGGGGGAAGTGGGTGGCTGAAATTCGGGAACCTGTTAGCCGTGGAAGACAACCGACTAAAGGGAATAGTAGGCTTTGGCTTGGGACGTTCTCTAATCCTATTGAAGCTGCCCTTGCGTATGATGAAGCAGCTAAAGCTATGTACGGTCCATTTGCACGCCTCAACTTTCCTAATTACTCCCCGGGATCCATGGTTTCCTTCGACAAAGTTTCAGCTTCAGCTGATAACAAAACATCATCCGCGGAGATGGAGTTCACTTCGCCTTCGAGGAGTGATAGCTTGGGTGACGAAAAACCTGAATGTTCTGAAGTCAGGAAGAAAGAGGAAACAGGGGAGCTGATGCAGGGTACTACAGGAGAAACAGAGACCATGGAGTATAAATACAAGCATCCAGATTATTTTGAGGTTCAGACTACCTTAAAGAATGAAGAAACAGAGTTCGAGCTTTCAAGGGACACGAAAGAAATTCATTTTCCACATAGCATTTCAACAGAAGGTACAGCAGATGCCAAGCCTGTTGGGTTAAAAACAGAGCAAAATTATGATTCTGATCCGTTCGAGTTACCTTGCTATCCAGCCAGTTCTTGGCAAATTGGTTTAGCTTCTCCCCAGCAGAACTGGAAAGCCAGACTAGCAAGTCAAGAGTGGTTGAATAATTTAGGGACAGAGTTGGGTCTGGATTACAACTTTGATTTTACGAGGCATGATCTTTATCTTCTGGACTCTGTAGAAGAGTCAGCACCTTTTAATTTGTGGTCCTATGACTCAGGATTCTAGGTATTTTGCAGGATTGCTTATGAATTTGTGATGTTGTACGTCTATGATTTCAACTATGTTCTAAACCTTTTGTAAAACAGTTGAACGGAACAATATTATAACATTAGATATATATTTTTTATATTAGTTGTATAATAAAAATCAATTTTTTTATTTTTTATCTTATTTGATCAACATATCATATAATTTAAATTTTAAAATTTTTTATTTTTACCAAAAAAATTATTAATTATTTATTTAAATCATCAAAAATATTATAATATTATCATTCTCTATTTAGTGGATGTTACATTTTTACATCTTATGAATATTAAATTCTTTAGCTTTATGTTGGATGTATACGACTTTCTAACTTACAATGTGAATTCAAGAATCCTTTACATGTACGACAGCCATACAACAAGAATGTTAAATATTATATAGTGATAACACATCCTGGTATGCATATCTCTAAACAATCAAGGATGCTGGTTTGGCTTGTCCGAATCGTGTATTTTATCCTTGACGTGACAGCAATTAAGAACGAGAATGTTAAACAAAGACTTGCATCCTGTGTGGGCTTTTTATCATTTTTAGAAACAGATACAAATGATTATGAATTAATTATAAGTTGTCCAAAAGGGTTTTCGTAGATATTTCGCCAAAATAATGCAATAAATGAAAGATAACCAATGACGAATAAATTAAAGTATTTTTTTGTACTTTAAAGAAATAAAATTGTCATTTATTATTTTAAAAATAATAATGCAGTTAACGACTTAAATATTTTAATAATTATTTTTTTCTGTTAGAAGTAAATAAGAGATGATTGTTTCTCATTATGTTACCAAAATAAAAAAAAAAGTAATAATAATAACAATGCAATAAATAAAGTTAGATCTGAATAATCCTCCTTTTAGAAAGCCCTTTTGTTGTTATTTTGCTATTTTAATATATGAATTAAAATCTCTAATTCTATGTGTTTTTTTAATTTTTAGTTGTAAAATAAAAGATATTTTCTCTTTAAAAAAATCATTTAATTTATATAATTTAAATTTTAAAATTTTTTATTTTTAC